AACGATCATTTGCATAGTTGAATCGAAATAAAATAATAGGATTACGACGAAAAGATGAAACGTGTTGATGAACAGAGTTGCATGTTTTTCATCGGAATGTGGGATCCAGCGTGGTTTCAATTTCGCGATTTAATTAAACCCGACGAGGAGATGTATCAACACGCTACGGAAACCAAGCCATCCGAGAAGAATAATTCAACGACGGAATAAATTCTGCGGTCGCGCCAGTCGGATCAATTGCCGCGACGTTCCTCGACGTTCCTCGACTCGCAGCTGGTTCGAAAACTGTTCCCCCCTGCCGCGTTTCTCGTTCGTGTTTCTTGAAATAATATTCGGCAGAGCTGCAGGACTCGACGCAGGATCGAGAGATTCTGTTCAGATCGAGATTTTTTTCTCGTTTCGATAACATTTGCCAGACCTTTGTTATTACGAATTATGAGAAAACAAGTCGCATTACATCACTTTCCACCTGTTTCTATCTGTCAGAGTTCGAAGTCTCAAGAAAATTATGAAAAATCTTCGGGCGCTGCAAAATCTCAGCAAGTGTGAAATGTAAGTTTTCAGTAGATCAGAACGAATTTGTTGAAAATTGTACCTTTATTTCTGGAGTTACGTTCGAGGAATTATCTCCGACAATAGGAAAAGAAATTTCTCGAAAGTTCGTAGTTCATTCCAGTTAAAAACTAGGATTCAATCTCCGAGCGGCAATATTGTTGGCAATTAACGAGGGAAAAGTATGAAAAAGTCGTTGGCCTCTCGAAGGAAAACCGCCATACTTTTTTCCTGCTGGGCTTTCGCAACATCCGCGAAACTTGACAAGGCTTTCACTCGCGTCCGGACTTCACGTCTTCTCTTCTTTTTTTCTTCTCCCTCCTTCCTTTCCCCCTCGCTTTTTCTCCTCGCCGTTTCGCCAGCGACAGGAAAACAGGCGGATATCCTCGATAAGGCGATTAGAGATTCCGTAACACCGGGATCACGGTCTCCGGTGTTCTCTCCCGTCGCTCCGAGAGAAAAGATACTCTTTCTACGAATTTTCGATCGAAAGGACAGTTCGGAAGCCAGATTTTCTCCCCGGAAGATTTCAAGAATTTTTTCATTCAGAAATTACAAATTGACGTAATCTTGGAAATTTTCAATGGTAGGTTCGACGAAATTCTGCGTCGGCAAGCTTGAAACGTTTGCAATCGCAAACCTGCCAGCTCTTTCATTGGCAAAGTTCGAAAAAAGTTTAAACTCGTCGAATCCTGCGTGAACAAATAGTCTTCGACTGTGAGTTCCACGAATTTTCAAGAATTCTGGCAAACCGAAATTCCCGCCAAACTTCCA